ATTCTAAAAAATATTTTGCTTCTATCGAATACACATTTAGTTATAACTTTAAATTAAAAGGTTAATCAAAAGGAGAAAGAATAATAAAAATTGTATAATGGGAGTCGAAGTCTTCTTAAGGTAAGTTGTTTAGATTTTAAATAATATTTCTTTAGGTACGTTTATGATTTAATTCCAAATTTTAATTAATTTGGTATATTTACGAATCTGATTATATTAATTATTAAATTGACTTCCCTCTGTTTATTTTCACCTTTTTTTTAAAAAAAAAATCTTCTAAATAAACTTTTTTTTATTATTATTTAGTTTCCCACCCGGTGCCTACATTGGAGCTCCGACTAAATTCGGATCGCGCTCTGCAGGGCCCATTCGGGGGGTGGCGCTCCCAACATGATTTTCTCCATACCCAGGACTCGAACTCGAGACCTGGTTAAGGGTGAAGCACTCCCACCAGTGCACCACAATTCATGTTGGTCTAAATAAACAATTTTATTATGTGTTCATACAAATAATATGATGTTCAAATTTAAAGTTTTGTTTTGAAATCAATGTTTGTTTTATATGTAATGGTGGTAAATGGAGATTGAATCAAATATGAATAGATTTAAGGTTTAAATTGTGTCAATATAAAATGAGCAATAATCTGACACACTTATATTTTATATTATGTAAAAGTGGGTTAAGTGACAAAATGAATTGGGTAAAAGACAAGTCCATATTCGCTCATATTTTCATTAATATGATACGCTAGTTTATAATTCAATATTTGAATAAAAGTAGGGATGATAGCATTAGGCAATTTTGAGGTTGTCTAGGGCGGAGCTAAGGGTGAGTTGAACATAAATCAATTATATTTTTCGATAGTTTAAGCTTATAAACCAAATCAAACTAACAAGAGTTAAATCTATGAAAATAAATACGATTTGATTTGAGTTAGTAGAAATTGATGAGCTATAATTCTACAAAGACTTACTGGATCATTAAAAATTCTAAATTCAAACTTATAATAATATATTAAGAAACATGTATTATAAATATTTAATAAATAGTTACAATTACATTATAATAAGTATTTCAAAATATAAAATTTATATAATGTTGGTTCGATTTGATTTCACTTTTAACTTATTTTATTAAAATCAAATCAACTATAAAAAGATATAATAATGGAAAAAAATAGATAAATAATTCTCATTAATAATTTAATCAATAAATCAAAATATTGATGTAACATTTTTCTTTTTGGTAACTAAGGGGCAATTAGGTAAAGGAGGACAAGGTGCACCTCTCATAGGATGACAATGGCAATTTTTTTCAAAATCACAATAACTATAAATATCACCTACACCTTTATAACATGATTCTATGCAATGTTTTTCGCATTCATTTGATGAATCCACACAACCAAAATTCTCAAAAATTGCTTCACACTTGTCTTCATTTGATGGAGGATATTTCGATGTATTTGCTTCAACTGTCATAAAAATATCAAAAAAGAAAATAATTAATCGAGAGATATGCATAGACTAATTTTAAAACTATAATTATCAAATAAATCGATTCTGGAAAAAGTATCTTAAAACTCTAAGCACAACAAATAGGTTACAAAATTTCTTGAAATATAAGTGATTTTCTTGTATCTGATAAGTAAATAAAAAATATTATCCCAATCAAGCATAGGTGAGTTTGGGGTGAGGTGTTGGGGTAAGAAGGAGAGAATAAATGTAATATTACCTTTGAAATTTGTTTTTCCTGTTTTCATCAAGAAAGTTATTTTTTAGATTTTGAAGAAACTTACATTTCTAAAAAAATCCAAAATATTCACCAACAGAACACGAGAAATTAAGAAAAAAATTCAAAAATATTTTTCTCACACTCTTGGTTATAGTAATAAAGAAGAAAGATTAATCGAAAGGACAAAGAACAACAAATAATTGTATAAATCATATATACCTAAAGCCACAACAAGCAAAACTAGAAGAGAAATACAAATGTTCTTCATTCTGAATAAGAGAAAGGTGTGAAAATTCCTGAGTCGTCTTTTTTAGAGAACACCTTTTCTTATAGAATCGAAGAAATGAGAAGAAAATAAAATAAAGAATGAATAGTTATTCTTTGTATTTACATCTTATTTATAAGGAGAATAAAATAAGAAAAATAAGTTATTTTCCATATATGTACTAAACTAAAAGGTAACTAAATATTTTATAGATACTGAACTAAAAAAACTAAATATGTTGCCATTAATGTAAACTCTAACGAAAAGAAAAAGTAACTATTATAGAAAATTCTTAGACTAAAAAGGAAAAACAGAATTTAATCCCTATTTTACCAACCAATACTTATTAAAAAAACGTAATTCTTTCAAAATTGTCTCCCTCTCCAAAACCCAAAGTTTCCTCCTTCTCCAAACGGCCACACATATTTGGTAATATTTTGATAGTTTTTTACTTTTTATGAATTGTGGTATTTATTTTTTTAAAGAAAAAATATAATTTATGAAATTTAAATTATATGTTCAAATAAAATTTTAACTTCAAATTAACCTATCTCCAAATTATCAAATATAAAAAATTAAATTCTTTTTTAGATAGACTATAAATTAAACATACACATAAATTGAAGCTGAGAGAATATTTGAAATAATCTCAATCGAACATGATTTTAAAATCAGATTGATTTGGAGTTGACTTTTTTTTATATGCAATTTGAATATCTTAAATTGTATTTCACCCCTCGTAAAATTACAAGTTGTAAAAACTATTCATTTTTTCTCAATTCTTAAACAATCTTACTTACACTTTGTTTGGATGGTTGTTATATATTGTTTCATAATGTATTGTATTGTATCATACTATATTGTATTGTATTGTATTGTATTGTATTGTTTTAATGAACCATATTTGGATATAGGGAAAAGGCATAAATTTCCCCTTCAACTTGTACCGAAAAGTCAGTTACACACTTCAACTATTATGACGACCTATTACACACCTTTACTACTTAAAAGTGAATTTATTTACTCCCTAAAACTGACGTGGCAAAAAAATAAAAAATTGGCGCGTCAGAAAAAATTAAAGTTAAAAAAAGAATTAAAAAAATCAAAAATCTTCCTTTCTCCTCCCATTACCCTTTAGAAAAAGAATTAAAAAATCAAAATCTTTCATCCCCACCCATTACCCTCTTCTTCTTCATTTTTTAATTTTCATCACAACTTTTTATTTTTCATCACAACCTTAAAAATTCACAATGACGTGAGTGTAGTATTGGTGTTGTTGGTTGTTCAGATTATTTGTTGGTTATTCAAATCTGAAAGTGTGGAGTTCTTTGGAACTTCATCGGAGCCATGGCTGAAGCTTTGAGCTTGCCGACACACCTGTAAAACAAATCAAAAAGAATAAAATCGCAAAGGGATAAGGTAAGGGGGTTTGGTTTGGTGTTTGTTGGTGATTGATTTGGATTTTGAGTGGCTGTTTTGTGGTGGTTGTTGGTGGCGATGGTTCGTCGAAAAAGAAGAACAAATGGCGTTGTGGAGGTGGACTGATGGTGGTGATGGGTTGGTTGTTCTTCGCCGGAGAAGACAAAGAAAATTCTTGTATAAATTCAAATGAATGATTTCTCCGATGAGATTAGAGATAAAGTGAGTGGGATTATAAAAAGATACAACTATTAGAGAATTTTAATAATTAATTAGAGATTAATTAGTGTAAAATAGAGTTAACAAAGAGAAAGTTAATTAATAAAGAAAAGAAAACAAAAAGAATAGAATAAATTATAAAATTTGATGTGGCACTGACCTGGTGATGACGTGGCAGCAAATGTAATACACTACATACTGTGAGAGTGGTGTTACATGTCTCAGGGTGGAAATAAATTCACTTTTAAGTAGTAAAGGTGTGTAATAGGTTGTCATAATAGTTAAAGTGTGTAACTGACTTTTCGGTACAAGTTGAAGGGGGAATTTATGCCTTTTCACTTTGGATATATTGTATTATTTTCCGTCATTACATAATGACATTCATCCATAATTTGAGTGATGAACCTACAAGAAATGTAAGATACGTGGTAGAGCTATTATGAAAAATGTAAGATCACCTTCGTGGTGACCCAATGATTTGGGTTTGGGACTTCCATGTTAAAGGTCTCAATTTCGAAACCCCTTACCTCAGCGCTTTACCTTCTGGGTCGAGCTCGTCGCACCAGGCTTGCCTGGTGCGGTGTTACCTCTCCTGTGTGGTTTGTGAGCTATTGCATAGGAGCAAGGGTTTTACCATGTGTGCACCCAAAGGGTAGCGGCTGCGAGTTTCCCTTGTCATAAGAAAAATATGGTTATTAAATATGATTATTAAATATGGTTATTAAATATTAAATAAAGATAAAATGAGATGAAAATATCAAGGTAATAACACAATCACACAAAATCGATCTTTTTGTTGTTATCTACGATACAATAGAATTTAAGTAACAATCAAAATAAACATTGTATATAAACTAACAATACAATACAATACAACAAGTAACAACCATACAAACAAGGTGTTAATGAGTAAACCATAATTAATAAACATAATATCCTTAGGCTCTGCATTGATAACTCACATATCTTCACGTTCTTTTTATATAAAAAAACATTTATAATTACAAACTTGTATAAACACATAATTCTACAACGATCACTAATCAACAATAATAATAATTAGTTATTTTTTAATATAATCCTTTCACACCATATAAATAATCTATTCACGCCAAATACAAATCTTTCTTTTACAAAATATAAACTCATGAATCAAATTTTACATTTTAATTTTTTTTAATAATCACTTGAAAACAAACGTAGGCAAGTCTCCATTTCTTTTTTTTTTTGCTATTTCTTCTAAATAAACAATTTTGGTTAGTGGATTTTCAAAAAAAGCATATACCTCTAGGGTTTCTTGAAATACCTCATATATAAATTCCACTTTTTTTCATCCCCAAAAGCCTTCGCTTTCGCCAACCAAAACCTTACAGCCTCAAATCTCAAATCTCCTCTTTTAGTTCTTCAACAATGGCTGTAACTTTCTCAAATCTTCACACTGAAGCTGGTCTTAAGTCTGTTAATGACCATCTTTCTGGAAAAGCTTATATTTCTGGGTAAGTTTTTTTATTTTTTTTCAGATTTGTAATCTGTGTTATTTTTATTTTTTTTTGATTTTTTGATGTGTTTTTTGCAGAGATCAGCTGACTAAGGATGATATTAAGGTATATGGAGCAATTTCTGAACAACCCAGTTCAGATCTTTACCCCAATGCTAGTAAATGGTACCAAGCTGTTTCTGCAAAACTTGCCTCAAGGTAAATTTTGTCTTTTTATGCTGTTTTTGTACTGTTTTTATTGATTTGGATAGTGTTTTGTTGTGAAAGTTGGATTCTTTAGTGTGTTTGTGTGATTAGTGATGAATTTTGAAGCTCAATTGTCCTGGGAAAGCTTGTGGGTCTGAGAGTTGGTAGTTGATTATTCTTATTAATGTTACTGGTTGTATTGTTCTTTGGGTTTTCAACTTTTTCTCTTTGGAAGATTGAATCTTTGGTTAGGTTTTTGTTGTCTTTTTGATGAATGATGAATCTTGGAGTTTAATTTTTATGAGAAAGTTGGGGTGTGTTATATTTGGTAGCCATTGCTTTTATTTGATTCTACTTTTTAATGCTACTGATTATATTATTCTTTGAGTTTGTTAAGTGTTTTTGATTTGGAAGTTATAATCTTTAGTGCCTTTTTTGTTGTCTTTGTGATTGATGATGAATTGTGCATCTTAGATGTGAGAAGAGTTGAATAACTAGGTACTTGTCTTAGAGAAATTTGAAAGGTCGAGAGAACTGGAAATTCTCGTAGCTTTGAGCATTCGATCTATTGAGATTTACTTTCAAATTTGTGAGGAAATTTGTGAGTGCGAATTATAAACTAGTATCTTACAAGATCTCTTCCTCTTGCGGTTGATTGGTGAAGTGTTACAATTTGGAGCTTGGAGTTCAGTTTTCCCAGGAAAGCTGTAGGTGTTAGAGTTGGCAGCTGTGACTTTTCTTTGAATATACTTTTTAATGCTACTGTTTTTATTGTTCTTTGAGCTTTCCAAGTGTTTTTGCTTTGGAAGTTGGAATCTTTAGAAGTTTTATTGGTTGTCTTTGTGACTGATGATGAATTTTGGAGCTTAGTTTTCATGGGAGAGCTGTGTGTGAGAGATTTGGCAGCCACACCTCTCTTTGATTATTCTTTTTCATGCTACTGTTTATATTGTTCTTTAATATTTCAACTTTTTTTGCTTTGGAAGTTAGAATCTTTGTTGAGGTTTTGTTGTTTTTGTGATTAATGATGATCTTGGTGTTTAGTTTTCCTGGGAAAGCTGTTGGTGTGAGATTCGGAAGCCAAGCTGCTCCTGCTGAAGCTGCACCCGCTAAGGAAGCTGCCAAGGTACTTACTAGACTGTTGAAGTGTTTTATCTGTTGGCATTGACCACTTTTGTTTTGCTTATTACTATGTAGAGAAGATCGTTAATAAGTCAGTTCATCTAATAAGATGTTTGCATTTGCTTTTATTACAAGGATCTTGGTTGTCACTATTTTGTATCGGTGTAATTGGGTTTTATAATAAAAAATTCCCTCTCCGTTTCAGTTTATTTGTTTGGTTTCAACATGGCACAAAGTTTAAGAAAATAAAGAACTATTTTTTAATCTTGTGGTCTTAAACTAAATATATATATATATATATAGATGTACCATAATGCCCTTTCATCTTGCTGTCTTACACATGTCATGTGGGAAGTTAAAATTAAAGAGTTGCTAATAAAGGAAAGATACATTCTTTTTGAAACTAACTAAAAACGAAAGTAATACAAACAAATTGAAATTGAGGGAGTAAAATGTGTTCTATTACTTTCTAGGGATGTTTTTTATATTTAAAGTGAATTTAGCATGTGTTATTAACTTGTTTATATGGTTGTTTTCTGCCCATTTATCAATACAAAATTTATGACTTGAAAAAAATTGTTGTGAATACTGTCTATATGATACTTAAAAAAATAAAATATAATGTTGTCTGTGATATTCCACTCTGTTGTGGCAATAAAGCTCCGTGAATTGTATTGTTTTTGTTATTCTGTTTAAGCTGTTAACCAAGTGTCTCAACTTTAATCTCTTCCCCTCCTCTTTCTCTCTTTTGACTAAAACTTTTAGAAGAGGTGTTGAATTGTGAGGAAGAAAATAAAAAGAAGAGCATAAAGGCTGAGGCAGTGCCGTGGCTTCCTAGTAGCCAGTGGCATTCGCCAAACCAAAAACATAATGGTCAGAATTCCACCTTGAATGGTTTGTAAATTTCAAGGCAGTTCATCAATCAAAATAACGTATATATCAAACTGAATTGAATGTATTTTTCGGAAAGCTACCTTGTATGATCCTACGTGCTCGCACATTTGTTCTTCTAAATAGATATTACTGGATATGTTATGTATTGGTTATATTTCTGTATCAACCTTCTCGTGCTTGGTCTGCATAACTAAAGGCTTTGACGTACCACCGTTACTCAATAGTACTCAACTGATCTATTTTATTATATTGCGATGTTATAGTGGGAATTGTTCATTCATATAGTAGGGGACATTTGATTATCTTGATTTTCTCTATGTCCAAGTGTAGTTTGACACATGAAATGTTTGCAGCCTGCCGCTGATGACGATGACGATGATGATATTGATCTCTTTGGAGAAGAGACAGAGGAGGAGAAAGCAGCAGCAGAATCAAGGGAGGCTGCTAAGGCATCTACCAAGAAGAAAGAGAGTGAGCATTGACATTCCTTCTCAGTTGCTTTTGTATACAATGCACAACTACTTTTATATGTGAATGATGTATAAAAAAGTGAAGAAAGAAATTGACTCTGGAAAAATACAAAAAAACATTTCAGAATTGGATTATAGAAAGAAAATATGTTCGTTTGCTCAAGTACATCTTTAATCTGCTTCATTCTGTTCTTCCCTTACTTTTGTAGGTGGAAAGTCATCCGTTCTTATGGACGTTAAGCCTTGGGATGATGAAACCGATATGAAGAAACTGGAGGAGGCTGTTCGTGGTGTTCAGATGGAAGGGCTTCTCTGGGGAGCATGTATGACTTATTATATCTATTCCACTCTTTACCCATTGCTTGAACTGTTGTATTATATTAGTTTGTTACTGACTAGCTGTTCTCATCTCTTTGACAGCCAAATTGGTCCCTGTTGGATACGGGATTAAGAAATTGCAGATCATGCTTACCATCGTCGATGACCTTGTCTCTGTGGATACCCTCATTGAGGAACGCCTAACAGAAGAGCCCATCAACGAATACGTCCAGAGCTGTGATATTGTTGCCTTCAACAAAATTTAAGGTCAACACGAGATGGAACTCTCTATCCGGATTGACCCTTGTCAGGCTGTATTTTTGCTAGTTTTTGAGTTGTTCTGAAACTTTATTTCTAGTATTTATCGTCGCTCTTTTTGTTCAAGTGCGTTTACTCATGAGAATGGAAATGTTACTCTGAAAGCATATGAAGCTGAGAATTATGATCATCCATTTTACCTCTTCTTTATGGCTTTTTTTGTCAATGAGTAATTTTGGAGCTCTCAGTTTGTTTTTCCTAGTTATACGGGGAGGGATGATTGAAAGGTTAACCATTGGATAACAATGGCAGTGTAAAGAAGCAATAAGTTATATGATTGCCGTAAGCATTGGTGGATAGAGTTACTTCGTACCTTTGTTGGTAGGTATCTCATGAAATTACTTTAGGTTTGTTAGAGTAATTGTTGGCGAATAGTTACTTCGCACTTGTGTAGGATAGTATCTTGTGAAATTAGATGAGGTTTGTTCGAGTAATCGTTGGTGGATGGAGTTACTTTGTACTTGTGTTGAATAGGTATCTCGTGAAATTAGTTGAGATTTATTCAAGTAAGTTCATGGTAATTGCTTTAACAGCCCCTTTGAAGACCATGTTTGATTGTCTGAGACAACCAATTTTGCAAGGTTATATAAAATGTGCTATTAGTCACATTAATCAACAATTTAAAGAACATATATAAACCATGATCAAATATTTTCTTGTTTGACATTCTAAAATTAAATTATATCGCATAAATTTAGACAAAAGAAGTAATAAAATTGTCTAAAAAAGAATTACCACCAGATTTATATGATTTAAGCAAAGTGTTATAAATTTTATTTATATTACAAATCTTGACCATCGTATAAAAATTTACTAGCTAAAAATAATGGTAAAAATATAACCATAATAAACAATTCAATCTCAAAAATAAGTTTATCGACTTATTGGTATTGGATTCGAATTAACAATTGGTGAACAAATTGATTGTATTGTATTGCATCATTAATTTAAATATTATGTTTATTTTGATTGTATCTTAAATTATCTAATAGTGTATTCTTTAAATGCATTCTTAGATAACGATGAAAAATCTCATTATATGTAACATTAATTTGGTATGATCGCATCGTTATCTTAATTTTTTTAATCTCATTTCATCTTTATTTTTCATTTAAATTATTGATGTGGCATATTATATTATATAAATACAATAGGCCAATATAATATGATACAATATATATTCACTACAATTGCTGAAGAACACAATATATTCAATACAACCCTAAATTGAAGAACGGGGGCATCTACTTTCGCCGGTCGGACAACGACGACATTTTTTCCGGCTATATTTGTTCCGGCATCTACTCCAAATTCTCATTATCAGGTATATCCTTCTTTCTCTCTCTCTACTTCCTTATGATTGTGCAGCTTTTAGACTAATTACTGCCATACATTTCTCTTAATTTAGTTATATTCCATCTTTTCACTATCAACTGTAATCGATTCAGCTTGTTATTGCTTAGGGAAAGTAGAACAGAAGCCGAGCAGTTTCGAGTGAATGAATACTCCTAGATACAATGAGAAGAATTGAATTTGATTAATTCAGGTTATTAGACTTTGGAATAATAAGTAATTTACAAAAATGAAATGATTCAGTTTGAACAGCAAATGGTTTACACCTTTAACACATAGCTGGGTAGCAATATAGAAAATTCTGCACCTATAGTGCATAGGCTGATCAGAGTACTTGAAGTTAATGGGTTTTCAGTAATCTCTAATTTAAAAAGAGAACTTCTTTATATGTACCCGGGGAATCGAACTCTCGTATAGAAGGCTAGCTTAGGGTTCTTTCACTACCACGGGACAGGGTGACTTCTTTGTTACTAGATTTTCAACAGATATATCTTATATATTCAATACATTTCTCAAATAACTATAGGATTTGTGCAAAAGTTACTGATTTCCTGGAAACACCATACTTGGTACTCTAGACCGTCCTCAGCGCTGGTGTAATCAATTTTTCCCAAATTGTCTTCTTGGTCTGCCATTTTTCCATTTCTTAATTCTTTCTGGCTGAGCGTCCTCTATTTGTATAATGTGTAATGATAACAAAAATATTGGTGAGTCTAATCTGAGAATTTCTGATTTGGAGACTATGTTCTGATTTTATTTTGAGTACATATTTAGTGAATTTCTTAACATATATACTTGCTTTGGGTTAAAGCTATTGGGCTGTACCAAACTCATATGTTATAGCCTACCTTTTCCCCTAATCCCCACCTCCTCTTTTTCTTCTAGTCGAGATGAAAGGCATTGATTAAATGAGGAAATTAACTCCTTACTCTTTCTGTCTCATTTTATGTGATATGATTTAAAAGACACACTCATAAGGTAACTTTAACTTGGATATAAGATAATATAATAAAAAAATTGTTAAGTTAGCATGATCAGGGGAGATCAAATAATTGCTCAAAATTGAATTCCTTAAATGAACGTGGATTTATAAAGAAACGAGAGTTGTATAAAATATTACTCCCATCGTTCCTTTTTATGTGTCATTGTTTGACTGTGCACAAAGTTTATTGAAGAAAGACTTTTGAAATTTGTGGTTTAAAACACATCATGGACATGACTATAAATCATCTCACTAAGGGTAAACTGAAAAATTTAAAGTTAAAATTTGTTATGAAATATAGAAACATGTCATTCTTTTTGTGACACTCTAAAAAGGAAAATGTGTCAAATAAATTGTGGACAAATAGAATATTACTTGTAAAATAATATCAAACCTCTTAGAATATTATTGCTTGTATTTCCTTCATATCCTAATTTCACAAGATAAAGAAACAGCTGTCTAGTCATTTAACCTCTTTCAGAGGTGACTAGGGAAGCTAAGTCTTTGCCCATGATTTTGTATATATCAGATGCTAATCTGTAAGAGATGTTTATTTCAGGATAGAAGAATCAAAATAAATGTCGACAAAAGGTAGGAAATTTGCTGTAAAGGGGGAGACAGTGGCATCACATTATGCATTTGGCCCACTTGAAGACGATATAATTATTAAGCATAGACTTCTGACTCGGACAACCACCACCAGAGGTGAACCACCACTGAAGAAACTTCAGAAGAAGTTCACTACTTTTGCTTTGGAGATAGAGAAGGAAGCTGATAACTACAATGATTGTGAAAGACTTGCCAAAGCATTCTTGCAAGAGCTAAATACTTTTGAGATTCCGCTCCTAAAGAGCAAAGTAGTCATAGATGCGAATGTTAGAGAAAAGGAGAATTTTAATGACCTGAATGGTGAAATCAACAAGCAAATTGTACAGGCTCAGGCTGACATAGAAGATCTCAAGAGGCAACTCGAAGAAAGCAAGGTTGAAAGGAAGCACAAAGAAGAGGGTGAGGCTATCAGGAAGTTGATTGCTATGCAGCCTCCAAGATCAGAAACTCAGAAGGTTATAACAGAGCTTGAGAAAGAGATAGCTATGTTGGAAGCAGAGAATACTGCTAGTTCGAGGACATTGGACCTTCGTAAAAAGCAGTTTGCCCTTTTATTGCATGTGGTATGTATCTTGCTGCAAACTTACCTTCCGTTAATGCTTTTGGTTTCCTTAGCATTATCCCTTAGCTTAAAACTGATTCTTATTCTGAAGAAGCACAAGTCTAATGCTTCCTTAATTCCTTTTCCGTTCTTACATAAGTTCCGCAGCATATATCCAAACTTCCAAACTAACACATCTCTTTTTTATGTTGGTCTCCATTTTCCTAGCTTCGTCTTTTTGTTTAATTTCTGATTGGTCTCATTTTCTTAGCCAATATCTGCTATGATGTATTGTGCTATTTTTTCTTGAATAAAAAACTGGTGGTGTTGCTAAAAAATATCCCAAATAAATAAGATTAATTGTGAGACCCACTTATTAGTCTGACAGGCCCAAAACTGAAAAACCAAACCGAAATTATTACGTTTCGGTTTCTAAAATCGGAAGTCAAAAAACTGAGTTGAACTTTTGCAAAACCAAACCGAACTGACCAACGCCCACCCTTAATCTCAAGAGGTGCTGAAGTATGTGTACACATTAAATACTTTCGATTCTAATGCACAGAATCAGAGGAATAGGAAAAGAGAAACTGATTGATTTTCTTTCCTAGTTTTGATTTTTTTTCTTGATAGGTTCTTGGCGTTTTGACTTCTCTTATTAGATTTAAATTTATTTACCGACAACTTAAAGAACTTTCACATTATCAATGACTTTAATCTATTATAGCATGTTATTATCTTGTTATCTAATTTACTAAATTAGGCTTGCTATGCACAATTACCTATTGTTGCATGACTACTTTAATCAGATGTAGTATGAGTGACATTTTAAGAATTAAGGTGTATGTGAGAAAAGGCGGACAATGTAACACCCCAATTTTCATAGAACGTTATGATTGCCCACTTTTTAATTTATGTAAAGTTTTCCGGCTTTCTTGAAATCCAAATTTTCGTGTTATTTAAAAACTTCTATTTAAAGAATATTTCTTTTTTTGTATAATCTGTGCTTATTGGTTAGAAAATTATGACCTCAGATATATATAAAAAAACAAATGAATTATGAGAACTAGCAATATTGGGATACTTAGTTGATCAGTGGAGAACTTGCTTTTACCAAGGGATGGATGCTCAGTGAGCAGTAGAGGTAGTCTAAACCCCAAATAAAAGAAGTATCTTGTGGAGGTATAATGTAATTTTGAGAATCAAGACCGTGCTCGACATATTCTAAAACAAGGTGTTACAGTGCAAAATTTTCTATCTCCTTAAATTTGAGTAACTAGATCTTTAAGATTAGTTTTCCGCGTTTGGATAAAAGGGTACTAATTTTCATAGCAGTGACAATCATAGTGTGTGAAAATATGTTTGCTCATCCTTTGAGTCATCAAGTGATTGTAACCGGGTTTATTGAGATTGTCCCTTCATGGTTCAAAGTCTTAAGACTTGATTGGAATGCCTTTTTAGGACTATGATGTTATAATTGGTAAGGATTGGCTCATTAGATACTATGCGTTGGTGGATTGTAAGTTGAAGCATGTAGCTTTTAAAAGTTCTTATACTCACATATTTCAAGGAAAAAGATCGGTGATATCTAATATTATTTTTATTGTTTTGGCATGGAAGATGATTCACCATGATTGTGAAGCCTATCTAGAATGAGCTTGACCTTTGAA